ATTTCCTCTCCACTTAAGCCCCTGGCATTAGGTCCTTGTTTTTCCCCTCCCTCCCCACTCCCCACTTCCTCATGAGCCCTTGATAACTTATAAATTATTATTTTGTCATATCTTTCCCTGTCCGACATCTCCCTTCACCCACTTTTCTGTTGTCTGTCCCCCAGCCTACTTTTTAAGCAGATTCTGTGGGAAAGCGTCACTCCTGCGGAGTCTGAATCCTGTGTCATATTGCCTGCCAATCCCAAGAGCCATCAGTGGACTTGCCAACCCTGAATTCATTCGAATGTACTCTCCAGCCTGTGTTCTTCTGCCTCATCTTCCCACTCCTGCTTCCTGGTTCCTCAGTCCCTGTAGCGACATGAGTCAGAAGCCTCCCAACGCAGACCAGCTTCGATTTACGATTTACCCACTTCTACAACTCTGAGCCAGTTCTTCATATCAGTCTTCATTTATCCATATTCATATACATATTCTATAGAGCCCAGCCTAACACACTGTCTAGATATAAGGAAGACCATAGGAGACCAGAGAGCCCAGCCAGATCAGAAGAGAGTAAACTAGTTTGACTAGCACTCTATTCACTTAGGTCGGCAAAACCAGAGCACATTAATACAAGAGTGATTATACATATGTACATACAAAAATATTTCCCTTCTTGATTTACCATAAATTTTATATATATAAAGTAAATGAGTACTGAGAGCTGCGGATGTGTTTTAAACAGACAAATGTCTGCTTCCTGCTAAAGAGTTATTAACAATCTCCAATATTTTCTAAGGAGAAAAAAAAACCTGTAACTATCCACACACCATACCTATGTACAAAGAAAAATAAATAGCCCAGTATTACCACCACTGATCTTAGCTCTGTAAAATCATGGGAGGGTTGGCTCTTCGTTCCTTTTCTGTGCTTTGCAGATTGGGATGAAAAAAGAGATGCTGGTGGCAGGAAAGTAGTGCTACAGTGTTTGCCCCATGTTATTGCTTTTTTTTTTTTTTCTTTTCAACACAGATACATCAGTGTTCATAGTTAAATGGCATATCATTGGAAGTCGAAGAATGCTAATAGTAGTAAACATCGGAGAATCAGCAACTTTAGGAGCAAAGGGTCCGAAGCTATATATACTTGTCATCATGTCCCTTTTGCATACTTTAAATGCAGTACCATGCTTATCTTCCGTTTAAAGCTAAATATAATTTTTTGAAAAGGCACAATGATATGAAAAGACATTTACAGTTCCCCTACTTGATCACCATACATTATCATCTATGGAAAGAAAAAGTTAACAGCTCTGACCTGTGCATCTCTTCCTCCGGCATCAGGTTAGACCTATATGTCATGTCCGATATGATATACCCATTAGTGATCCTGGGGTG